CCCTTCCTGACAGCAAGAGCTGCCCCGGCTGTCACGACTGCGGGTACGGCTGGCCGAGGAGCTGGAGCTGAGGAAGAGGCTGCAGCAGCTGGTGGTGGCGAGGAGGTGCGAGGACGAAGAGGAAGGATGAGGAGGAGGGAAGGAATAAGGAGGAGGTATGGAGAGAGGAACTGGATTAAGAAAAGGGTTGCGGCAGCTGGTGGTTGCGAGGAAAGGGGAGGTGGAAAAAGAGGGATGAAGATGAGAGAAGCAGTGATTCAACGTGAAAAAAGATGAGAGAAGCAGTGATTCAGCGTGAAAAAAGATGAGAGAAGCAGTGATTCAACGGAGAGGTATGGAGAGAGGAGCTGGAGCTGAGAAAAAGGCTGCAGCAGTGAGCTGAATTTTGAGGCGCCTCAAAATTCAACTCAAAGAAGCTGGTTGGTGGTGAGGTGGAGGGAGGATGAAGAGGAGGCAGGGAGGAAGGGTGGAGAGGAGGAAAGAGAAGGGGCATAGGAGCTTAGTAAGCGCCTGCAGCAGCTGGTGGTGATGAGGAGAGGGGAGAAGGAAGATGAAGCAGGGAGATTAGTTGCATAAGAGAAAGGGCAGAGAAGCTGGGGATGGTGGTGAAAGCGAGGGTTGATAGGAGAGGGTAGAGGGGAGCGGGTAGAGGGGAGAGAGTGGGAAAGTTGGAAAAGGGGGGGAAAAGGGAGAACAAAGATGCTGGGATGCAGAGCAAGGGTTCATCTCCAAACGCTCACTTACTTTCATGTCATGAGATACACCTAGCTCTGAATGAACCTCGATTCAAGTCTTGTGGTAGCACTTCCAGATGAGGGACTGTACATAGCTCGTGGAATTTTTCTTAGGTACTTGAGAAGGTTTTGTTACAGCAGCTCTTACAGAAGCCATTTATCCCACTTCTAGTGCGACACTAGAAATGCTAAATCAGACATAACAAAGGCAACAAGACTGCACATAACACCTACTCAGCACGTACATACTCTAATGAATCATGCAGTAGCCAAGGCAAGCTAGTAAAGCGGATCATGATGCGTGTGTGCGGGTGTGGGTGTGTCAGGCGGGGGGAGCAGCAGGTTTCTCCATCATGCGAATGCCAGCCCCCTTGTCCCACTCCTCCGCTGACAGTGTCTTCGCCATGGCCTCCTGGCCGCGCCACAGGATCTGCAGGGACACGAGCAGCACACAGAGTGAAGTGGGTATGGGGGAATGGGAGCAGCACACAGAGGCGAGTGGTTTGATGGGGGGAAAGGAGCACCAAATGTCTTGGCCAACGCCTCCTGGCCGCGCCATGGGAGATACACGCACACAGGACAGACAGGCTTTAAGAGAGGCAGGAGCAGCAGGCAGGGGGAAAATAATGTGTTTATTTCTGAGGCGCCTCAAAAACTTCCGCTGACGGTGTCTTTGCCATCGCCCCCTGGGCCCGCCACAGGATCTGCACGCGAACACGTAGAACACAGAGAGGAGTTCAAGCCTCATCACCTCACCTTGGCTGACAGCATAAATGCCACCTCACTGTGTTAACCCCTCCACACGCAAGCACACTAACGCACTAGAAACAGCTAATGCTATGTCACCCACTCACTGTGGACACACCCACTCACCTTGTCAATCACCCCGAACTCGAGAGCCCTCTGTGGGTTCATGTAGTACGGGCGCTCCATGGTCTTGGCAATCTTCTCAAACGACTGGCGGGAAGAGAGAGAAGAAAATGATGGGGGGCGGTGAGATGAGACGATCGTAGCTTTCAAAAAAGAGTTCATGTAGTACGGGCGCTCCATGGTCTTGGCAATCTTCTCAAACGACTGGCGGGAAGAGAGAGAAGAAAATGATGGGGGGGCGGTGAGATGAGACGATCGTAGCTTTCAAAAAAGAGTTCATGTAGTACGGGCGCTCCATGGTCTTGGCAATCTTCTCAAACGACTGGCGGGGAAGAAAAGAGAAAGAAGAAAAGCGTAAGAGATAAGGGTGTAACTGAGATTGCGGTGCTGTGAGACAGGGTGCAGTGAGATGGAGTGCTGAGAGATGGGGTGTGGTGGGATGGGGTGAATGTAGGCTCCCACGATTGGGGCGCTTCATTGTCAGGCTTTTCTTTCAAATGACTGCCGGGAGGAGTGAGGTGGAGAGGCGTTGAGTGGAGTGGAGTGGAGTGCGGTGAATAGACATCAAGTTGAACAAGTGCGGAATCAAGAAGTAGAGACTGGAACGTACATTGCCTGTGTGGCGGGCGAGGAGCTTCACGAGAGTGTCTCTGTTGTTCACCACCTGAGATGGGGAAGGGGAGGGGCGGGGAGCGGAGGGGAGGGGAGGGGAGGGCAGGGCAGGGGAGGGGAGAGGAGAGAAAAATGAACACATTTATATTGCTACACTTGGAAACAATATCGATAACATGAACAACAACAGAATACCAAATGCAAAAATCGTTGACCATTACAACAGACTCTTGAATCAACGGACCTCCTTGGCTCAGATGCAAATCAACGGACCTCCTTGACGCGGATGTGCACATCAATGGCTGACATCTGTCCCGTGGAGGGCAGGCGCGGCTGCTGGATCATGGCGGTGGCGTGTGGCAGCATGAATCGGCGCCCCTTCTCCCCCGCCGCCAGCAGCATGCACGCCTGGCCTATCGCCGCCCCCACGCCCACTGTTTGCATCTGGAGGAGTGGGAACCGGGGGAGGGGGGGAGGGAGCACAGGAAGGGGCAGTGGGGGCAGCAGGAGGCAGCAGGGGGTTTTAAGGGGGACAGCAGGGGGTGTAGGGAGGGGGGCAGAGGGACCAAAGGAAAGTAAAGGGCAGGCGCGGCTGCTGGATCATGGTGGTGGCGTGTGGACATGGAATGTTGAAATTCGCCCTACGATGAACGACGCGCGCTCCGGGCCTCTGCATAAGCTTTTGCAGCGAAGCGCGTGAGGGAGAGTCAGCCGCCATATGCAGGGGCCCGGAGCGCGCGTTGTTCATCGTAGCGCGGATTTCAAAATTCCATGTCAAGGCAGGTCAGACTTCCCCCGCAACTCTCTTCTGCACCATACCTCACTCCTCTGCACCGCGCCTCACTCCTTTGCACCACACCTCACTTCTCTGCATCGCACCTCACTCCTCTGCACCGTACCTCGTTCTTCATCTGCATCATGGTGTCGTATATAGCAAACCCCTCCGTCTCCATGCCCACCTGCGAGCAAAAATGACAACGGGCGGAGGGGGAAGGGGAAAGGAAGGGAAGCAAGGAGGGGGGAGGGGGGGGGAGAGGTGGAGTGAAGAGGGGCAGGGGGAAGACAAGGGGAAAGAGAGAGGGCGAGGGTGTTGGGCAGCGAGTTAGAGCCAAATGGCTAAGCAACTAGCTTGCTGTCTACGCATTTGCATTGGAGCGAGTGGATGTGATTTGCGAAGGGAAGGGACCATATGCAAGCAACTATGCATGCTTCAGACCGTCTCATTATGCCTCACCACTTCGTGTTGACTCATCCTTCAACCCAACCCACCAAATGGCCGTTGCTCAGAAATTCGAGCAGGAATTGATACAGGGGTAGCTGGCTTGACGGGCTCCTATACGCACCGCACCCCACGTGTGCCCAAAGCACCCTGCCACGTCACCTTGCCACGTCACCATGCCACATCAGCCTGACTCACCGTTTCGCCATCAGCGCGGGAGGTGCCGGTGGAGTTGAGGTAGACGTAGGTAGGCTGACGTGGATCCAGCCACTGAAGGTACAGCAGCTGCGCTATCACCAGCTCCGTTACCGCTGGTACCAACTGCACGCAGGAAGGCGGGGTGGTAAAGGCCGCGCGGAAGGCAGGATGGGAGGGAGGAGGGCGGGGGGGAAGAAACGGGGAGAAGCAGATAGCGTAAACCACTGCAGGTACAGCAGCTGCGCTACCACCAGCTCCGTTACTGCTGCGCGTTGAGCAAAAAGGGAGGGAGGGGGCTGGCGAAGGGAAGTGCAATGCATTCACCCAGCTCCGTAACCGCCGGCAACAGCTCTGCGTTTTCTAACTTGCACATTCGAACACCCACCGGCATGCCTATGTGCACGATTCGGCTGCTCAGCAGGAGTGACTCGAAATTGCTGCTCCCTTGAAACTTTTTTCTCCCACGTTCCACCACCCACCGGCATGCCGACGTAGACAATTCGGCTGTTCAGCAGCAGCGACGGCAGATCGGGCGGCGGCCGACGCGGCCGGTGCTCGCCGTACCCTCCACCGCGCTCCACCTGCGCGGGGGCCGCCATTTGCGTCGCCGCCATTTTCGCCGCGGCGAGGTCCAGCAGCGGCGGCCCGTCGAACCGCCCGCTCGCCGCGTCGGAGATCTGCGCGCGCCCCTCGTCGGACCGGGCGGCGTCCGCCAGCCACGGGAGGAATTTGTCGTCTACCGGCGCGATCAGCCGCGGGTCGCGGCGAGCGCGCAACGCCATGGTCACTCTGCCGTGAGTCCCGGCGGCGGACGCGCGGAGAGACGCGCCGAGGTGCTCCTTTCTCCCGCCGAGCGGGGATCCGGAGAGCGCGGCCGCGCTGAGCCCCGCAGGCGCCAACGACGCTCTAAGCGCGGAAGCCATGCCGGCGGAAAGCTCGGAACGCGAGGGGTTAGGCGGCAACGGAGAACGCAGGCTGCCGGAGCTGCTAGCAAGGCGCGGATTCAGCCGAGGCGAGAGCGACGGAGATACCTAGGAGAATGAGAAGACAACTGACGTGCAAACGTGGCGGGAAACGGAAAATTAGGGTTTCGATAAGCTTCGGAAAGAGAGTGACGTGGGGCGAGGAGAAACGGTGGAGGGTGCTGCTTTGGCAAGCGAATGCGTGTCCTTGGGAAAATACATGTTGATTAGCTACACCTATTACACCTTTACTTCAACGTATACACAGAGCAACTTTAGGACCAAGTCACAAAAGGTTGCAGATATGGCATACGGTACACTTGCGCTGAATATATTTGGGTTGAAATACAAGAGGATTTTCTACAGCAAGCACACATTGTCGTGTACACTTAATCTAGTGAGAAGCTACAAGGGGGCAGCATCCAGCCCTATGGGCTGCCTTGCCACCTCCTCCTCTTCCTCATCACCCCCATAACCCTCGTTCCCTGTACCCCCCGTCCCCTGCCTCCCAAGCACCAAAAACCCTTCATCCTCCATCCTTGCCTTCCCTACATTAGAAGTGTTTTCCCGCTCAGCCTGCCGGGCCACCTGACCAATCACCTGTCCACCAGCAGCCCCACCAATTTCCCCTCCTAGCATTTTTTCCTCCACCACTCGATCAAAATCCGAGGCTGAAACTACAGCAGGCGCCGTCAAACCAGCAGCCGGCCCTGCCACAGCACCACTAGATCGTGCCCCAGCTGTTGCTCTTGTGACGGCTCCAGCTGCCTCTCCTACAGAGGCGCGAGCTACTGCCGAAGCTGCCATCCCAGCCACACCTGCATCCGAACCTCCTGTTGCAGACACCAGCCCCGGTGCTGAACCTAATAGCGGATCCAACGCTTGGGAGCGGTTTGGGGGAGATGTAGTGGTTGAAATGGCGGCTGGGAAGGAAGGGGAGGGTGAGAAAGCTGTTGCAGATGTGGAGTGAGGCACTGTTCGAGCAGGAGAGGGATGAATTGCGATAGAAGCAGGTTGGGAGGGAGCGAAGGGAGTGTGTGCATGATGAGAGTGAGTGGGTACCGGATGGGCGGGAGAGAGGGGGGTGGGCATGGAGGAGAGAGGCAGGAGCGAGGGAGAGGAGTGTGAGGCATGGGGGAGATGAGAGCCGGTGGGTACTGGTGAGTGATGGGCAGACACTGCAGCAGTAGAAGAGGATAAGCTTCTAGCTGCTTCCCCAGAATGAAGAGGAGACGAGGAAAGAGTAGCACCAGGAGCGACAGCCGCAGCCACAGCAGGAGCAGCAGCAGGCGCAGCAGCAGGAGTAGCGGTGGTGGGAGGGGCGGCGGGGGCAGGGAGGGCGAGGGCAGCAGAGCCAGCGCCCTGCAGCAAGCCAGCCACACCGGCACCGGATGACTGCACGTTGGTGGGCAGGAATAGGTCGTGCTTCTGGTCCTTGAACGCCCTCCACACCTGGTGTCGGGAGAGGGGGCGGGAGGAGGGTGAGGGGGAGGGGAGATGGGTGTGAGGCACCTCAAAACTCGCCTCATGGCACATGGACGAGTGCACGTTGGTGGGCAGGAATAGGTCGTGCTTCTGATCCTTGAACGCCCTCCACACCTGGTGTGGGGAGAGGGGCAGGACGCAGTAAGGGACCCGGACCGGAGCATGGGAAGAGGCAGCACCAAACACGCAACTACCACCTCTTTGATATAGTTCACCAAAAAAAGGGTGGTATTTGCGTGTTTGTGAACCAATGAAAAGAGCCATGCGGTCGAGCATCTCACATCAAATCGCTTGTGACCTGGGCTTTAGAAAAGGCTCACCTCAGAGCCATTAAAAATGTCGAGCACATGGATGGAGTAGGCCCCATCTGCCCCCAGCAGATTTCAACACCTTTGAGGCGCATCAGAACTTGGCATTTGTAATGCCTCACCTCAGAGCTAACACAATCTCATCTCAGAGCCAACACAATCTCACCTCAGAGCCATTCAGGATCTCTTGCACACGGATGGAGTAGGCCCCATCTGCCCCCAGCAGCTTCAGAATTTCCACTGTCAGCACTCGCCCCACCGCTGCCTCTGATTCGCTCCACCGCATCCGGGCAGCCAGCGAAGCCTTTCCGCCTGCCCGCCAGTCCAGGATTGCAAGCAGGACCTGAACCAAGCCATTCCTGGGCAAAGCAGTAAAGAAACACACAGGACAGTGTATAAGAATCAGTGTGTGACTAAGCCAAGGTGCTGTTGCTTGCTTAAGAAGATGTGCGCTCATTCACCTGTCGCTCTGCTGGCTTCCCACACTCAAACACCTGACCCTTTGTTTACCTTCACTTAAGCACCTGCCGCCATGCTTACCGGAGCGCCTGAGCAACAACGACGCCTCGAGATCTGTTGGTCAGCGCTAGCAGCCTCTTCATTGTCTCCAGGGCCAGCACAGCTGCTTTTTGAGGTGCCTCAAAAACACCTGCCGCCATGCTTACCTGAGCGCCTGTGCAACAATGACGTCTCGAGATCTGTTGGTTGGAGCCAGCAATCTCTTCATTGTCTCCAGAGCCAGCACTGCCGCTCCCGCCCACCCGATTGCCCGCATCAGCAGGGCTATCACCTGGAAACATCGGTGTGGGGGAATCAACGAAAAAGGAGGGAACTTCCAGAGTAAACAAGATGCCATTTCAGAACAATGGCAGTGGGAGGGGGCAGCAAGGTCATCAGCTTAGCGCACGGCGGCTAGATAGATCACACGTTGGTGCCGGGGAGTACAAGTCTCACCTAAGGGGCGTTGGTGCCGGGGATTACAAAAGCCTCAGGGGGCGCCTTAATCCAGGGGTGAACCTTCATTCGGGGGTGAACCTTCATCCGGGGTGAACTTTCATCCGGGGTGAACCTTCATCCGGGGTGAACCTTCATCCGGGGTGAACCTTCATCCGGGGTGAACCTTCATCCGGGGTGAACCTTCATCCGGGGGTGAACCTTCATCCGGGGTGAACCTTCATCCGGGGTGAACCTTCATCCGGGGTGAACCTTCATCCGGGGTGAACCTTCATCCGGGGTGAACCTTCATCCGGGGGTGAACCTTCATCCGGGGTGAACCTTCATCCGGGGTGAACCTTCATCCGGGGTGAACCTTCATCCGCGGGTGAACCTTCATCTAAGGTGAACCTTCATCCGGGGGTGAACCTTCATCCGGGGGTGAACCTTCATCCGGGGGTGAACCTTCATCCAGAGAAAATAATCAAAGGGGGCGCCTTAATCCAGAGGGGATAATCCAGAGGAGCCCATGGGCGGCAACTTCTGGAGGAGCTTCAACGAGCACATACTCTCCCTCTCCCCCGCCTGCCTCCTCGCCCCCGCGTCTGCCTCCGCAAATGCCCTTGCTTTTTGAGACGTCTCGAAGCATGCAAGTTCTACCTGAGGGGCATTCAAGTCTCACCTGGGGGGCGTTGGCACCGGGGACAGCAAGAGCCTCAGCACAGGGGCCATTGGCGGCTATCTGGTGGAGGATCTTCAAGGAGCACATGCGCGCCCTCTCCCCCGCCTGCCTCCTCGCCTCCGCATCTGCCTCCGCTGCAGTTACCCCTCCCTTCGTCCCACCCTGTGCCACCCCGCCCCCTGCACCCCCAGCTATTGCTGCCCCTGCTGCAGCAGCAGTTGCAGCACCAGCAGCAGACGGCGCAGAGGCGGTAAGCAGTTGCCCCTCGGCTGCAGTCAGCAGCAGCAGCTTCGGCACGTAACCCAGCAGTGCCACGTGTTCACTCAGGAGTGGCTGAACTCTCAGCAGGGAGATGAGCGCTGTTGCTAGAAGCTCCACTCTCTCTGCCGCCGCTGCCACTGCTGCTGCTCCTACCAGCCCCCTCCCTGCTACCGCCGCGGCCGTTGCTGTTCCCGATGCTGCTGCTGTGGGAGCAGGAGCAGGAGCAGGGGAAGCTGGGGCGAACAGTGCTGACGTGGCAAGCACGTATTGGTCGAGAAGGCCCTCGAGAAAGCGCTTGGGGTTGCGCAGCGGGTACTTGGGGTCCTTGAGGAAGAGACGAATGTACACGCCGCCCACCTGCCACTCGTCCCCTTCTTCAGGTGAATTCAACAGACTGTTGTCTGATGCGCCTGGCGCCCCACCTGGACCACCCGAACCAGCACCTGATGCAACACCTGGAGTGCCCCCACCGATAGCCCCCACAAGATCAGGCGGATCCCATTCAAAAGAAGCCAGGTTTCCAAAAACGGAACTACCACCCTCGCCTCCTCCCTTGCCCCCACCACCAGACCTCCGTGCGATCTCTACCATCCGTACAACCTCAGCAGCCAGCACCGCTATCCGACGGCCGAGATTGAGCGCGAGGGCGGGGGACCAGACGAGCTCGGGGGTTTGCGTGGTCTGGGAGAGAGCAGCAATGGCAGCTTCCCCTGAACCGTCCCGCAGGAAGGAGAGGAGGCCTTGGGGCAGGAAGCGGGAGAGGGAGAGGAAGACCCGCGGGCCGTGCAGGGGCTGAGAGAGGAGCGCGGAGAGGAGGAGGGCTGTGGTGACCCGGATAGGGTGGGGTATGTCGTCTCCTGCAGGGGACGGGCGAAGGGAGAGGAGTGAATGTGGTTGGTTGGGGATACTTGCTCATGGTTAAGTAGGTGCACATGTGGCTGGGCACACAATCATGGACCTGTGAGTGGCGCAAAGGAGGCACGGAGGAGGCACGGAGGAGGCACGGAGGAGGCACGGAGGAGGCAGACATCTGGACTGGAGCATCCAAAGGAGAGGTACGTGATTCACGGTCAAGAGGGTTGTGACTTCTTCCATGGAATTTTGAGTAAGGTGAATGCTCACCAGGGGCAGGGAGCAGGAGCGCGAGGAGGAAGACGACGCCGCCTTGCTTCGCCACCACCCACGCTAGCTCTGGCGTACCCGCCAGCGACTGCAGCATGCCCAGAATGGACGGCCGAGATTGCGGCGATCGCACGAGCAGCAGCAGCAGCATCAGGAGAGACCCTCGGTCTGATACCATCGCAGCCACACTAGGTGCGAAGCCGGTGAGTCTGGTCAGCACTGCCAGCGCGAGATGGCGGATTCTAGCCTCTATGTGTGCAGCGGAGAGAGCAGCGGGTGCAGAGACAGTAGAAGAGGAAGAGGAAGAGGAGGGTGGGGCAGGGAGTGTGGGGAGGGAGAGGGAGATGCAGGTGAAGAGAGGGGCGAGGGAGGCAGGGGAGGCGACGGCAGCGGCGGCAGAAGGCGAGGTGGAGAGCACGTTGTGGAGGGAGGTGAGGGCCATGATGATATTCCCCAACACCCACCGCACATCCCTTGCCTTCCTCCTCCTCTTCCGCCTCCCTTTGCTATCCCTCCCACCCCCGTCCTGCTCCTCCCCGCCACCTCTCCCTCCTGCTCCTCCTCCCCCCCCATCAACCTCCCAATCGTCTGGAATCCTAAAACCACCGCCACCTCCCTCCCCACCTCCGCCGTTCTCCTCCTCTTCCCCTTCCCCTTTCCTGTCCTCTTCCTCCTCCTCCTCGCCCCCCTCCACACCCCGCCGGTCCCACTTGCGCAGCAGCAGGACAGCAGCAGGGTGCAGAGGCGTGTGGTGCGATTGGGAGTGGTGCATGGGCGGGAGCAGCGCGCACATGTCGAGCAGGAAAGGCACGAGGGCAGCGGAGAGTGACTCGGGGTCAGAGAGAGGAAAGTCTGGATGTTGGATGAAGAGACGGAGGTAGATGTCTCCCACCTGGTGGAGGGATGGGTGCGGGGGGGGGACGGGGACGCGCGTTATTGATAGGGGCAGCAGAGGAGGACTCGGGGTCGGAGAGAGGGAAGTCTGGGTGTTGGATGAACAGACACAGGTAGATGTCTCCCACCTGGTGGCGGGACGGAAGGAACACATGAGCGGTGGGGGGGGAGGGGGATGCTGGAGGTCTCAATGAGAGACTCAGGTCGGAGAGAGGAAAGTCTGGGTGCTGAATGAAGAGGCGCAGGTGGAGAGATGGGTGCGGGGGAAGACGGGGACGCATGAGGTGTTATTGATAGGGGCAGCGGAGACGGACGGAGAGGGGAAGTCTGGGTGCTGGATGAAGAGGCGCGGGTAGATGTCTCCCACCTGGTGGTGGGATGCGATGAGGAGTGCGAGGAAAGGGACAAGACGCATGAGATCTCTTTGATAGGAGCAGCAGAGAGAGACCAAAGGTCAACGAGGGAAGTCAGAAATTGGGAAGTCAGGAAGTCGGGAAGTCTGGATGCACTTACCTGCAGCAGATAGACCACACATCCCAATGCCATGGCAGTACATGCACATGGCTCTCACTCTCACCCACATCACAGCCAAATCACGTTTCCTCTCTCGCTTTAAGCCCACCTAATTCTCTTATTCAAGAATGGGCTCACCTGGATATCGTCCTCGTTATAAGCTCACCTGGATCTCGTCCTCCAGTGCAGTGTACACAAACGTCTGGCATGCATCCACCGCATACGACCCATCTGCCTCCCTCTGCGCCCTCCTGTCCTCCAGAAACCGCAGCAGCTGTGCCCTCATGCCACTGCTCCATATCACCTGTTGTAAATCCAACAAGGAATCATCACGAGTACAAGCTGAGTCCACACACTACGAAGTGACATGAAGAGAGCTCTCAGAATTGATTCACGGAGATTACAAGCTAATCTCAGCAGGGACCACCGCAACCTCAAGCAGCCTCCTTGCTGCTGCATCTGCCCAGAGGTCAGCAACCTGCGAACTCGGAAGCCAGCCTAATCTCCAACTGACTAAAACAATCAGCTTACCTGAGGGCTCTCCACATTGCTGGTGAGCGCCTTGAGCAGCCCCACAGGCGAGTTCTCTGCCAGTCTAGCAGCCAGCCGCGGCGTCAGCAGCACCTTCACAGCCGCCCGTGCTGCTGCATCCGCCGACCCCTCCTCCCCCTCGCCCTCCCCCCACCCTTCCTCCTCGCCTCCCCTCTCCGCAAACCCGCCTTTCTCCCTCAGGTACCCTGTCAGTCGAGCAATGGCTCGTGCTGCCAGTACTGCATGCAGGTTGCGCTCTGACTGGACGTTGGCGCCGATTGCTGATTGGCCCGTGACACCGGTGACAGCAGAGGCAGAGGCTGAGGTGGAGGAGGAGAATGTGGTGCTGCTGGTGTTGATTCTGGTGCCATTCGTACCGGTGGAAGGGAGAGGGGTGGAGATAGTGTGTGATGTGGAGGGCAGGGCGAGGTACTGGGAAGAGGACTGATAGGATTGAGAGGCAGATAGAAGCAAGGCTCCGCCGCCGCTGCCGGCCTTCGCAGTCACTGCTGCACCTGCACTCAGGCTGCTGCTGCTGCCGCCTCCGCCTTTGGTATCACCACCAGCAGTATCCGCAGTGGAATCGAACTTAAAGAGCAGCGGAAGCAGATACCACAATGCACCAGCCCTTAGCAGCCTCTCTCTGAGCCCCTTAGACAGCGCCAGGTGGAAAATCCCCTCTAGTGCTGCTTCCACAGCCCCGGGCGTGCTCTCTAGCTCCGTCGCCACCACCAGGTCCGGCACCAAGGCTGCTGCGCAGGCTTGGTTGGTCCGAACCTCGGTGCGGGCGGAGGGGAAGGCGGAGAGAATGGCGAGCGTGCGGAGGATGTGGGTGGCGATGAGGGCAGGGGGGTCAGTGGGGGAGGAGGAGGGGGAGAGGAGGGAGAGGCAGCGGGAGAGGAGCGTGGTGAGGAGAGGCAGGCCCCCGTCTCGCAAGAGCTCTTCGCCGTTGAGGGAGGAGCAGGCACAGCTGGAGGGGAGGGGCGGGGGAAGGGAGGGGAAGGGAAACTCGTGTTACATCTGTTCTCCACAAAAACGAGTGGCCCCCATCTTGCAAGAGCTCTTCGCCGTTGAGGGAGGAGCAGGCACAGCTGGAGGGGAGGGGTGGGGGAAGGGAGGAAAAGGGAAACTCGTGTTACATCTGTTCTCCACAAAAACGAGTGGCCCCCGTCTCGCAAGAGCTCTTCGCCGTTAAGGGAGGAGCAGGCACAGCTGGAGGGGAGGGGAGAGGGAAGGGAGGGGAAGGGAAACTCGTCTGGCCAATCATCTCCAGGAGAGAATGAATGAATACACAGGAGAGAAGCGACAGGAGAGGTGGGAGGTAAATGGAACACCAACGAAAAGCAAACCCCACGAGGGTGCCGCTACTCACATGAGCCACAGATTTTTGAGTCGACTCAAAAATCAACAAACCCCACGAGGGTGCCGCTACTCTACTCACATGAGCCACAGCAGATGCGTTGCTGCCTGCAGTAACTCCGAACGCTCTGGCGGCAGAAAGCTAGATGCGCTCTCCTGCTGCCGCCACGCCTTCCCACCATCCTCCCCACCAACAGCACCAACACCAGCACCATCACCCGCACCATCCCCCGCATTCCCTGCACCTGCCTCGCCATCCCCATCCTCCAGCCGCAGCAGCTGCAGCAGCAGCGGGAACCCAGCATACTTGAACGGCTCCAAAACTCCCGGATACCTCCGAAACAGAATAATCTGCGCGCGCAGTAGCAGCAGCACGCGCCAGGTCTGCGGCCCCTGCAGGCCCTGCATGGCAGACTGCAGGTGCTCGTATGCCTTCTGCACTGCTATGAACTTGTCCCGCCCTTCAGGGTTCTTGTCCGGGTGATATCTCACCGCCATGCGCCGGTACTGCCTCTTCAGCACGTCCTCGTCCACTTGCACGCCTTGTCTTGTAGCGGGGAAGGCGGTGCCTGCGGCGGCGGAGGCTGGCTGCTGCTTGTCTGGGGGAGCAGGGGGCGGAAGGATGAGAATTGGGAGGGAAGCGAGGGGGGAAAGGAGCAGTGTGTAGGGGGAAGAGAGGGGGGGGTGAAGAAAAGAGTGGCGGGGGAGGGTGGTCAGAAAGGAATGACAGGGAAAAGGTACGGCTCTTTCCTTTCAGAAGGGAAAAGGTACGGCTCATTTGGAGTCACCAAGCATTAAAGTCCAAAAAATCTCAGGTCAGCAAGAGGGCTATTGCAGTGAAGGCAGCTCACCACTGGGAATCTCGAGAATGGCGCATGCTTCCTCCACTGAGATCCCCATGGCTCTCTTGAGTCGACTCAAAAGTCACAACAATGCTGCACTGAAGGCAGCTCACCAGTCCGATTCAATTTAGAATTCTCAAAATTCGCTCACCGGTGGGAATCTCGAGAATGGCGCATGCTTCCTCATCGGAGATCCCCATGGGCTTCCTTGCGAGCTCCTCTCGCCACATGGCGAGCAGCGACTGGAGGAACTCCACGTGCTCCACAATCGGCCAATCAGGGAAACGGATCTCATCGCACAAATTCCGGAGGTAGTAGCGGTGGCACCACATCTCGTCCTTGAGCTCGGGGTACGAGATGGGCGGCATGGGCGTGTGGTCATACAGCGCCCTGGAGAACTGGCTCAGGCGCTGGGGGAAATCGCCCAGGTGGGAGAGAATCTGCAGTGCGGTGTGGAGGAGTGCAGAGGGGTGAGGGTGGTAGGGGGAGAGAGGGGGTTGCAGGATATAGAATGGAAGAGAGGAGGGGGAAGAAGTGGTTCAAGAAGGTACTACTACTAGTACCACAGTGCAGGGAAGAGCTTTGAGAACAAGCAGTACTGATCAAAATAAAAAATCCCGCCTTCGGTTTTTGTCCTCACCTGCGGGATGAGCACGGAGCCCCGCATGGCATGCGTCCAGATGAGCTCCGGCGAATCAGAGTCCGCCACAACAGCAGCGGAAAACGCTGCTGCCCCACGCCTGTCAAGCACGTAGAGCAGGCTCTCTGGCAGCAGCACTCCCAGGATGCTGCGCTTGGCCAGCGGCTGTGACGCCATGTCCGCTGCCTCTATGCCGCTCACATACGCTTGCCTGCCAGGTGAAGGGGACGGTTAGAGGGGAAGGGGGGACCGGGGAAGGGGTGGGAGTGTGGAGATTCGGGGCATGGAATGGCAATGACACCTCATCTTCAGTACTCACCGTGTGTGTGTGGCGTGGCAGAGCGACGCTAGCGTCCCAAAGTTGGAGCCAGCGTAGGCGAACGCAAAGAAGTACACGCCCGTGGTGTACAGGCGGGTGGCGACTGTTGGATTGTAGCGCACGATCTCCTCCAATAGCAGCGCGGCCTTTTCCACTATAGCAGGCTCGTTGGTGAGAATGGCCTGCCAGTATTTCACAGGAGGGTGACAGGAGATGTTAGTGAAAGCGGTTTTTCCCAGCGCAGTAACAAAGTGGGATAGTGAAAGTTGATGCTCTCATTAGAGGGAGGGTGGGGGGAAGAGGGGGGGAGAGAAAGCTGACAAGGGAGAGGAAGAATTAGGGGGGGGGAAGGAGGAGAAGGGGTTACGAATGTGGGGCTTTTCAAATGTAATGGAGGAGGACGGCATAGGGGAGGGAAGACGGGATGGAAGTCAGAGAGCATACCTGTGCGAGGTGCGGCAGGCATCTGGGGTCACAGAGAGCTCTCTTGACCCTGGGCATGGGCACCAGCACATCCCCTCCCCCTCTCTCCCGCCCCCTCCCCCCTCCACCTCCACCACTTCCACCACCATCAACGGCATTCGCTCCCCCACTTCCCACTAGCACTTCGGACGGGCCGTTGGTGGATGTGGTGTGTGATTGTAACGAGGGGAGGTGGAGGGAGGAGGTGGAGGAGGAGCAGGCAACGAGGGATAGGAGGATGTCCAGTGCTGCTTCTCCCACCTGGTTGGGCATGCGGGAGGAAGGAAGGAGGGAAGGAGGGAAATAAGATGCATGAAGGCCGGGTGTGTGCTGTCACTGAGAGACACATGAACCTGAGGATGGATGAACATTACATAGCATAGCAGCACGAGAGAGCAGTAACCCAGGCAGCAAGTACCTTTTAAAGCGCCTCAAAATACACCTCAATGCACGCGGGTGTGTGCTGTCACTGAGAGACACATGAACCTGAGGATGGATGAACATAGCATAGCATAGCAGCACGAGAGAGCAGTAACCCAGGCAGCAAGTACCTTTTAAAGCGCCTCAAAATACACCTCAACGCACGCGGGTGTGTGCTGTCACTGAGAGACACATGAACCTGAGGATGGATGAACATTACATAGCATAGCAGCACGAGAGAGCAGTAACCCAGGCAGCAAGTACCTTTTAAAGCGCCTCAAAATACACCTCAATGCACGCGGGTGTGTGCTGTCACTGAGAGACACATGAACCTGAGGATGGATGAACATAGCATAGCATAGCAGCACGAGAGAGCAGTAACCCAGGCAGCAAGTACGGCAACACGAACAGAACAACCCGAGCAAGATTCCAAACGAACCTGGGCAGGTGTGAGGATGGCAACGCCAGTGGCCATGGCCCAGCGCAGCTCGCGCACGTCACACACGCGGCGCCACTCGTCCCACCCCACCGCCCAGCAGCATGCTGCTACCCCAGTCCACCTCACAAACAAACCCGATCATATACCCAAACAAACCTGAGCAGGCGTGAGGATGGCAACGCCAGTGGCCATGGCCCAGCGCAGCTCCCGCACGTCACACACGCGGCGCCACTCGTCCCACCCGGCCGCCCAGCAGCGGGTGCTCCAGTCAACCTCCCCCCGCCACCGCGCCTGCTGCACTGCCGCCTTGAGCACGGGCCCCACGCGGCCCCCGTTGGGCAGCATGTAGAACCACTCCTTGGGTGGTTCAGTATATGCCGTTGCCGCCAGCAGGTTGGACTGCAAGGGGGTGCAAGCAATGGGGTGAGGAGAATGTTTGTTCAGTTGACTCAGAATGCATCCTTGTGCACCAGCCCCACCGGCCCCACGAGGCCCCCGTTGGGCAGCATGTAGAACCATTCTTTAGGAGGCTCTGTGTATGCCGTTGCCGCCAGCAGGTTCGACTGCAAGGGGGTGCGAGCAATGGGGTGAGGAGAATGTTTGTTCAGTTGACTCAGAATGCATCCTTGTACACCATCCCCACCAACCCCACAAGGCCCCCGTTGGGCAGCATGTAGAACCATTCTTTAGGAGGCTCTGTGTATGCCGTTGCCGCCAGCAGGTTCGACTGCAAGGGGGTGCGAGCAATGGGGTGAGGAGAATGTTTGTTCAGTTGACTCAGAATGCATCCTTGTGCACCGGCCCCACCGGCCCCACGCGCCCCCCGTTGGGCAGCATGTAGAACCACTCCTTGGGGGGTTCTGTGTATGCTGTCGCTGCCAGCAGGTTCGACTGGACAGGGTTGGGGGCGGTGGGAGTATGGTGAGTGAGAATGATGTCTTAGTCGACAAGTATCCTTGTGCACGAGCCCCACCTGCCCCCCACACGGCCCCCGTTGGGCAGCATGTAGAACCATTCTTTAGGGGGTTCTGTGTATGCCGTCGCTGCCAGCAGGTTCGACTGGAAGAGGGCGACGGGGATGAGGATGGTGGGAATGAGAGTGATGAGAAGGATTCTTTAGTCGACTCAGAATGCTGCCTTGAGCACGGGCCCCACGCGCCCCCCGTTGGGCAGCATGTCGAACCACTCGTTGGGTGGTTCAGTATATGCCGTTGCTGCCAGTAGGTTTGACTGGAACGGTGGTAAGGGGAATGGGGGTGATGAGCATAAGGGTGATGAGGAAGGGAGGAGAGAGAGTGGAGGATGAGGGAGTGATGATCGGAGGGTGTGTGGACAGAAGTGGCGATAAAATAGGGGAAGGATGAGTAGGGAAAAGGGATGGGAGAGGTAGATGTGAAAGGAGGGCTGGTACATCTGGTGTGGGATGGTAAGGTGATGGCGCATGTGCATGTGCATGTGCATGTGCATGTGCATCCAGTGGATAGTGACCTGTTGGAGTAGGACGAGTCACCTGCTGGATCCAGGTCGAAACTTTATACGTGTGCATGCAGTGGATAGTGCACGCACCTGGAGAGGAATGGAGGTGCGTTCATGGGCGTCGTGTGCAGAGCAGAGGAGGTCGACTGCCAGCTCACACCCTCCCACCGCCACACACGCACTCGCATTCTCTTGCACTCGCACCAGCGCCTGCAGGTGACATGACACAGAGGCCAGGAAGGGGTGTGAGAGACGCAAGGAGTCAGGCAAAGGCCATACCGCCACATTCTGCTACACAGGCACTCGCAGCACGTGGACACGTGGACGTACCTTGAGGAGCAGCAGCAGGCGGTGGCGGAGGGTTCTATCCAGGGTGCGATCCAGCAGCAGAGTGACATCCTTGAGAATTCTCAGCACACTCACTGCTGAACACCTCGCACAACACATACCTTGAGCAGCAGCAGCAGGCGGTGGCGGAGGGTTCTATCCAAGGTGCGATCAAGCAGCAGAGTGACATGCGCCGTGCCGTCAAACGGCCCTATCACCGCCCCGTACTGCCCGTACACTATCGCCATGGCCCGCGCACAAAGCTCCCGCACCGCATTGCTCACCGCCCCTCCTCCCTTCCCTCCCTTTCCTCCCTTCCCACCCTGCCCTCCCTGCCCCTCTCCCTTGCTGGCTCCACCTTCCACTGCTCCTTCATCCCCTGCTGCTGCAGCAGGCTGCTGCAGCTGGGCTCCTCCGAAGCAGTCTTCGCCTGTGGGGTCGCACCACTCACTCAGCCTGCAATCAGATGGAGAGAGGGCAAAGAACATTCTCACCACTTGGTACGGAAAAATCACAATAGATTGATTTCGGCTGCTGACATTCAGAATAACCACTCACCTGGCACGATCCTGAGAGGCGTCAACCCCATCCACCACGAGCCCCATATCCGCCTCCCTCAAGAACCGGTGGTACAGCGACCGGAAAAACGCTGCAGGGTCCCGAATCGATCCCACTGCTGCTGCCCCTGCCTCCCCTGTACTGTCAGTGGGAGAATCCACAGCGCCGCCACCAGCTGCAGCAGCAGCAGCGCCGGTGTCTGGTTGACCGTCAACGGCACCTGGGTGGAGGAAGAGGCGCAGGTAATAACCCCCTACGCACAGTTCACAGGCCAACGACCGATACCGCACTCGAAACTCGGCGAAATTCCAGCTAACCACGACCCCTCTTCCTTCCTCCTCCCCATCACCCTCCCCACCAGAATCTCCCTTCTCCAATCCTTCCTTCTCCTCCCGCCTTTCCTCCTCCCCCCCTCCTCCCCCCAAGAACCTCTCCTGTTCCACGTCCAGCAGATGTACCTCCCCCTGAAGAGCCTCCCTCAGCTCCTGCCTCGTGCGCTCGTTCCAGATCAGATCCGCCCTGCAGTGGTCCCCCGCGAACTCGTGCCAGAACCGCTCCCAGTTGAGACCTCCCCCGGCTGTGCTTGCTTCCTGTGGTGCTGCTGGGGCACCTGGGGGGTTCAGCTGGGGGGGAGTTGCTGAGCCTGTATGCGGAGCTGTTGCTGGTGCTGGGAGTGGGCTTGGTGCTACTGCAGCTCCAGCTCCGTTCCCCTGCTGCTGCTGTTGCTGCTGATAATGCTGCTGTTGCTGCTGATAATGCTGCTGTTGCTGCTGATACTGCTGTTGCTGCTGATACTGCTGTTGCTGCTGATACTGCTGTTGCTGCTGATACTGCTGTTGATGCTGATACTGCGCCCGAAACTGTTGCTGCGGTTGTTGATGCTGCTGCTGCTGATGCTGCTGTTGCAGCTGAGAAGGGTGTGGCTGATGTGCTCCTGGCGCTCCTGCTGTGCTCCCTGCAACTGCTCCTCCTGCCACTGCAGCTCCTACTACTGCTCCTGCCACTGCTGCTGCTCCACCTGCTCCTCCTGACACACGTGCGGCAGTAGCTAGTGGATCCATGGCAGCACCACCAGGCATACCCGGACCAACCCCACCTGCACCAGCACTACCTGCAATAGCAGCAGCAGCAGCAGGAGCAGAGGCAGCAGTAGTGCTACCAGCAGGTGTAGCAGTGGCAGTGGAAACGCCACCAGAGAGAGCATTTTCAACAGCAGCAACTGAAGCAGATGCAATCGCATCCCGAACCGAACTGGACACCGAGCCTATCACCGAGCTGGCTAGGGCCGAAGCTGAGGCAGCTCCGGCAGGCCAGAGGTCCGAAATGGACAGGTCTTGCGGGCGGGAGGAGGGCAGGAAAGGCGTTGACTGAGACAGAAAATCCGCTGCAGCCGCTGAGAACTGCCCATCCTCACCACTCCCTGCTCCTGCCATTTGCCCTCCTCCCAAACCAACCCCCAGATTACCGGTCATGCTCTCCCCCGCACTGCCCCAGCCCCCAGCGCCCACACCCCCTAGCCCGTGCCTTCTGCGGCCGATAGCAGCAGCTGCTGCTGATACCCTCCTCCTGCCCTTCCTCCCGACCTGCTGCTGACCTGGCAGTGCTGCTGACGTGTCACGACGCGAGTACAGATGAGCACAGAGACCAGGAGGGAAGCACCTTCGGATGAGATCCAGACTGGGGTCATGCCCTTCAGCCCAGAGGGCAATCAGCTGCCGGCTCAGATCTCTCCTCTCCCCTCCCGCTGCTGCAACACTGTTGCTCAGGTGCCGCAGGAAAGCGCCGTCTTTTAGGGCGGCATCGCGCATGGGCCGGGCGGCGGCCTCGTCTTCTTCTGCGATGGTGCACATGATGACTGCCACTGCCTCCCGTGTGCCCTCGGCTGGATGCGCGAACAGGGAGAAGAGACGGCGCTTTAGGTTTGCCACCTGGGATGCAGCCAGCCGGTGGGAAGCACGAAGGGTGTGGGGAGGGAGTGGGGGGAACAAACGGTTGGATAACGGGGTTAATGGGAAAAGGGAGGTGGAAGGGGATGTTTATGATCATATAAATGGACAAGGCAAGTGGCAATGCAAATAATTTCTATCCTCTAGTACGCTATGCACCAGCCTCACATAAATGATCTCTAGCAGTGTCCCTCCTCACCTGGCGCAGTGTCTCATGGAAGATTGCGTCCTGTGTGGTGTCACTGTCAGGCGAGCACACCAGCGCTTCCACCACCGCCACTGCTGCAGCTGACAGCAGTGGCGACACCGACCGTGGCTTCAGGCGATTCACCACTGCTGCCACCTGGGCAGGGTGCAAACAACGATGGACAGGGAGAGAAAGGAAACAACACAAAAGAAACAAGGAATGTAAAGAGCTTTTTGCCCCACTGACGAAAGTGTCAAACGAAACGTACAGCGAGCGGGAGGGTGTGAGGAAGGAGCCTTACACGAAAGGTCGTGGGGAAGGGGGCTTTACCTGGACAGGCGTGGGGAAGAAAGCGGCTTTGGCAGCAGCGCGAGCAGCCATGGCCTTGTTGCATGCTGTGCTGGCAGCTGCTGTGCCCTGACTGGCTGCTCCAATCTGGCTGGCTGTATTCCGCAGAGAGACTGGCAGTGCTATGATGACTCGCAGCAGATCTGGTGTGTAAGGGGCAGGGGGGAGATGTGGGGGGACGCGCACATGTGCAGCAGCAGGGTAGAAACAGGGTACGCGCGAGAAAGAAGTGGAAAAGAAGCAGGAACGGCACCGGAAAACCGGGACAAGGGTGAACACAGCAGCAGACACTATATGACATTTCTCCATCGCAGTTAACCCACTTCCCGATAACCTTTCCCACCCCACCCACTCTTTTGAACACTCCCTCCAGCAGCAACTCTCCCAAGACCCACCGAGTGCTTCAGCTGCTACTGCCTCCAACCCACTCCACACCAGCCCCATGATCCCACTGCTTTTTCGGGGCATGATTATTGAGGCGCAAATCAAAGCAGACTCCCCAAGCCAAGACTCACCGAGTGCTTCAGCCGCCACTGCCTCTGACCCACTCCGCACAAGCCCCATAATTCTCCCCACTGCTCCCGGCATCCCCACCACCAATGAGAACGCGCCACTTGCCCCCACCAGGCGCCGCAGACACGCCAGCAGCCCAATGTGCGTCCCAGCAGCCCTCGGGGAAGGCGCAGGGAGAATTGCCGCTGCGCTATAAGCACCTGCTTCGTTATAAGCAGCCTCAGTACCCGCAGGAGGAGGAACAGGCGGGCTGGGCAGCATGCTAAGCACAGCCATGACCACCACATCAGGAACATCAACCCCTGCCGAGAGCCCTGAGTAAGGCACACAGGCGTTGAACTCTCTGACTCTTCGCCAGAGCCGAGTCTTCGAACCAGGGATGGTTCCCCCGTCGGCAACTGCATCCTTGGCTGCTGCTGCGAGGTGCTTCAACAGGAGTTGATCCCCCTCTACGTCACCAAATAGACCCTGGCCTAGGCGCGACATGGAGAGAGAGGATGCCTCTAGGCTTGCAGATGCTGCTGCTGCTGCCACTGCTGCTGCCGCCGCCGCTGCTCCTGATGATGAGGATGCTGCTGCTGCGGCTGGAGTTGTAGGGGGGTCTGAGGAGGAGGAGGTGGGTGCAGAGGTGGCAGCTGTGTGGGAAATGGAAGAGGAGGTGGAGGAGGTGGGGGTTGGAGGGGAGTAGGCATGGAAGGCGTCGCCGTAAGGGCCGTCTAGTCTGTGGCCGGTGGCAGTGGGACGAGCGAGAACAGGAACGGGCTTAGATGTCTGTGTGGGGGGAGGACATGGGGGCATGGGATGTGTGCTAGAGTATGAGCACTAGTGAACTGGGCAGAAACGGGGGATGATCGAGACATGGAAACCGTTCACTTGAGGTTTGATCAACTTTCACGTAATTTGCTTCAACATCTGAACCACAAAACCTAAACCCTATCCTCAACACTGGGACCTGATTTTCAGCATCGCAACCACGCATCTCACCTCGGTTTCAATAGCATCTTTGAGGGCGGACAGGAGAGAGTCACGTGCTGCACATCGGTACACCTGGCGGGTGGGTGGGTGGGTGGGTGACCGAATGCTCATGATTGGAAAATCTTGGAGCTTTGCTTGGCATGCAGGACGAATCTTGCTCACGCCTTATATGTAAGATGGACGAATCGCGTAGAGTGACTAAAACGGGCGCTGGCAGATGTGTGACCGAAGCGGGGCAAGCCAACACGTGTCTCACCAGGATTGGTGCCCCGTCAACGAACTCCAGAGCCAGCAGCTGAGGCTCCTCCACCCATCGCACCAGAGCCGACACGGTTGAGAGCTGCCGCATGTATGTGGCCTGCCATACACAGCAACGGGAGGGTTTCACAAGCAGCAGAAGGAAAGTGATGAGCCTGCCACCAGTGCCATGCCACCACTTACATATACAAACAAACTCACGATGCGGACAAACTCTCAATACGAAGAGATCAACAGACCATTTGTCCCCTCACCTCATAAGTGACTGGGTTGCGCTCCACAAAGTAGTGCTGCCGAATCACAACAAGATTCTGAGGCGATACTGAAGTTGTTTTCCCGAAAGCTCACCTCATAAGTGACTGGGTTGCGCTCCACAAAGTAGTGCCGAGTCACGGCAAATTGACGAGCCGAGCCACTCATCTCCACACCCAATCCGCCTTGCACTCCCCCCCCTGCCACGCTATTGCTGTTGCTGCTGCTGCTAGAGGTAGCGCCAGCACCACCGGCAGCAGCAGAGGAGGCGTGAGGGGAGGGGTCTGGAAGCAGAGCAGAGTGACGGACGAGGGTGACGGACCACTCCCCCAGCGGGGGCTCGTTGGGACCCACTCCTCCCACCGCTGTGATCAGCAAAGGGGTTAGGATGGGGCACATTGTTGGAGGAAAACGAACTTGGAATGAAGGAATGAAACCGCACTTGTGGAATACACGACTGAAACTGCTTTATGCGCTGCACTGCACTGTACTGTACAGCGTATTGCACGTACCAGTCTGTGAAACAAAGTCTGTGACACTCGGGCGAGAGGTGGTGTCCACTGTGAGCGCACGGCCTATGGAGCCCTTGGCTGTGTCAACCTGAGGGAAACAAAAAAAATGTTAGCAAACTCGCAGCAAGAACTTCTCGCGTTGGAGAGTTGGACGTTGGAAAAACTGAATCACGTTGAAAACCGCATGCTCAGAAGGACTCTAAGAGAGCTCAAATCAGAGCAAGGTGAGTCACTGAAAGGGAAGGTGGACCTTTTTTGGGAACCTGAAGCTTACAATCTTTGACAGGATGGCCGAGTTGGAACACCCTCCAGTAGCTGTGATCGCCTTGGCCCGCCTCCCAAACCCCAGCCGCAGGATAAACCCCCCATCCTCCCTCCCCGCCACGCCCCTTCGCACACCAAAGAACCCTCCAGATGAGCCTCCACTGGAAGCACCTGCACTAGATGCGGCCTCCTCTGGGCTAGCGAGCACAGTGAGAGCAGGGGAGGAGAGACCCTGAAACTCCACACTCCAGCGCACTGCTGCTGCTATGGAGGCCACAGAGGAGGAGCGGGATGTTGTTGCAGGAGTGGAAGCAGCTGAAACTGCTTCCACGGGTGCTTGGATTACCTCGATTCCCACTGGTGAGATGCGCATAGCCTGGATAGATGGCAGTGAGAAAGAACATAAGGAGACATGAGTAAGGAAACATTTTGCAAAGTGATCAACAGTGAAAACAGCCAAAGAGGGGAGAGAACAGGCTAATTAACATCCAATTCAAGCACTGAGAACGCCTGGGTGTGGATAGACGTACTCTAGGCACCCAGGTTTGAGAGCAGCGGCGGAGGCAGAGAACAGGGAAGACTGTGGAGGGAGTGGTGAGGGGCCGAGGAGGGTGGGGATGCAGTGCCGCCACCACCCTGTGCAGTTCCGTCAGCAAAGATGCACGGTGCCTGGAATCAGAGGATCAAGGATAACTTGTATTGAGAGTTAGCATTCGGGCAATTAAAGTGGAGCACCGATAATGGCATGTTGTAAGGCTTGATATTCCTGCGACGTTTCGACTCAGGAGCACGGACTACGAAACAAAGCTTAAGATGAATCATGTGGACGCACATAGAAGCGTTTTCAAGGAGGGCGTGGAGAGGTTACCGTGCAGAGAACTTGATGGGCTTGTACTTGCCACGTCCATCTGTGCGAACGTTGATTGTGAATTCCAGCTGCTGCGTGAGTGAAACGCGGCAGGAGAAGGCACAGAGTGATGAAGGCTTGATCAAGCACCAACTCCAAATAAAATGATATAGTGAGGATTCCAAGAGAGGAGACTACGACACTGAAATACGTCGAATCAATACAAGTATTTAGCAGCTGGTTATTCCAAATTCAACAGCAACAACCAACCACGCCATAATCTCTGGCCTTTGTACCCACCTGCCCATCTTCCTTCCCTCCAAGCGGAGGAGCCACCACAATCCCCTCATAATCCGCCGCGAGGGTGTAGTGGTTGGTAGACGAGAGCGAGTGGGGATCGAGTGTGATAATAGCGGAGGATGACACACAGAAGACCCGCTTGTAGCGTCCTCGCCATGAGTGCTTGGTTGCGTAGCAACGGATGGCGTAGTCTGGCTCCTCGGGAATCCCTTCCTGATGGAGCACCGTATACAGTACGAATACAATCAGTGAAGTAAAACGATACAATCAGTGAGGTGATAGAACCAGCAAGATTAGGGATATAATCAGGCATGAAACAAGGTGTCAGCAGTGCTCAGCATTGCAACTTTACCTGACCATGGTGATCGCTACTGGCTGTAGCTCGGCTGAGAAATTCCATGATGACGTAAGGCTGCTTCTGTCGTTGTGTACGAGACTGATCCTGCCTGATTACATCACACGAAGGCCTCGACGCCTTCTAGACAGCTTTTGTTCTCCCTCTCTCCTTCACGTGTCTGGTAATCATGTTCAATCCTACTATCTCGACCAAGTGAAGTCGTCCTAGAGAGTTTCCTATGCCGTCGCTTTTACTCGACCACAGGTTTCCGATTCAGCGACTCGCAAGTAAGTCGCACTGACGGAGGTCGTCTAGATTCGATCAGATTGGAAATGAACGTTCTCTTGCGTCATCCGTCCATCATTTTCATCTACGGCACACGCAGATGCTTCTGATGCTAAAACAACCTTCAACTGACGGATTCCGTCTTTCGCGAATATGCACTTGTCGGAACCTTTGCTAGAGCTGAGGGCCCTCTAGCCGATATGACTAATCATTCAATCATACAACCCTACAGTCTGGTCAAACTGAACAGCCTTCCGGTCTTCGACCCCACCCTTCTCACGGTTTACGAATGCTGAACGCAGTGCAACATCAATCAATTTCCTAGGGATCCTAAGAAATGTGAGTAGAACTACAGCTGACGGCTGTGCATTTCTAAAGCAGATTCGAGACATGTGTCAGAAATGTGAGTGCAGCTGGTGCCGTGTGGGAGTTGGCTGCTGTGGGGTTGGACCTGCGAAGAAATGAAGCAAGCGAGATGACATTGTAGCTCCAAGGTACCCTGCGAAGTGCTGTGAGCGCACGAGTTCGTAACCAGCTTCAATCAGTTTGTTGGGAATCTGCTACTGATTGCAACTTTCGCGAATGACGTGTCTGCTGTGTTACACTTTCGTCGTGGTCAGTGGAGGTGAAGTGCTCCATCCAATCACTAACCGTTTCCTGCAGTTTCCAGGCGAGCCTGACCCCAAACCAGTGCTGCAACTTGTAACGACCGGCAAAATCGTAGCCGTCGCTCAGCAGAGATCAGTTCCATTCTGTTACCAAGCTCATTCTTTGTTATCACCATTCGATCCAAGCACACTTCTCCTCACTCCGTTGCCTGCCAAACCTTTACCCTTTCGCGCCATCTGTCGGCCTAAGCTCGGTCAATCTCGATGACAGCCACCGCCAGTCACAAAGCGCGAAAAACTCGAGGGTGAAGATGGAAGGGGGGCACCCGAAGCAGCCTCAGTCGGGGGGGTTGAAAAGTGAACTGGGTCGCGGGGCGGCGGAGGAGGACTGACTGAGGTGTCGCGGTCGCAGTCGGAAAGCAACCTGACTTGCGGCGGAAGCGGCATTGGACTCGCGCGTGCCTTGAGATGTTTTCTCCTCCTTGATGATGCAGAAGATGTTTCCGGACTACTTGGTCATTATTCCTTCTCTCCCATCCCACCTGTTTAGCGCCAATTATCTCCTTACTTATCCGCCATTTACCTTGAAACAGCTGTCGCAACTTAATCACGAATGTCTCTTTTCTCGTAGGTTGACCATCCTACCCAGCCGCCGACGACGCTTATCAATGTCTCCGAGACCAAGCCTTTCGACGGCAAAAAGACAGCGCGCCTAAGACATTCGACTCGCGTCTTCGTCGTGTCCGTCTTTGGTTGTCGTATACCTAACCGCCTGCTCAGACCTCCTCGTGCGGCCTTATCCTTCACAAACTGCAAAGCTGCCCCCACCTACTCATACTAATTACCTGCTGCACTAACACTTAATCATAAACTTGCCACAGCTCTTGGTTAAGTTAACTTCTATTTGACATAGCTCTTAGTCAAGCGTGGCCTCGTCACGAGTTGGTTAACGGTGGCTTCCGGAGCAATGTCGTCGCCCGGTCGCATGTCGCCGGGTCGGATATGGGGGGAAATCAAGCGCAAAACCGAGCACGCCGGCAAAGGCATCGCCTCCCGTTTAGGGCACAACTTTCGTAGTCACTCGGCTAGTCACTCGGGTAGTCGCAGCGCTCGCCGCGCGCCGGCCGACGACTCCGCGAGCGACGGCAGAGATCCGCTCGGAGAAGACGACGACTGCCTGGCCATGAGCCCCGACCGTTTTGCGAACCCGAACCGCAGGAGCGTCTCAGGTTCCGTGGATTCCGGGGTTCGGCCGCCTACGGTCCGACACTCGTTCTCCGGACCTATCTCCGGCGATAAGGACGACGTCGCTGCGCCACGTGTCGCGGAACCGACTATCGCGGAACGAGAACCGCTGGGGGGTCTGGGGCTGCCTTATAACGAGTCTCTTGAGAAGAGCAAGGAGGGGATAGTCGATGAGCGCACAGACGCGGGTAGCGCTGCAGCGGATGGAAGGATAAAGGGTGGAGCAGCGGACGAGGTCCAGGGAGAGGGAGAGGGAGAGGAGAGAGGATTAGCGGTAGTAGCAGGGGGAGAGGCGAAGGGAGAGTGGGGAGGGTGGGAGATGTCTGAGGAGCGGTTGGGATGGTGCGAGGAGGCGTTGAAGCAGCTGAAGAAACGGATACGCGAGCTTGACGCTGTATCGAATGTGACTGGGAAGCAAAGATTCGTGGAGGAGTTCGAAGGGCTGCGGGTAAGCTTTGAGACCTCTCAAAAGTAGATTACTATAACGCTGATCTTGAGACGTCTCAAAGCTTGACGCTGTATCGAATATGACTCGGAAGCAAAGATTCGTGGAGGAGTTCGAAGGGCTGCAGGCGAGTGACGCTTCGTTGGATCACAGCCCGTTGCACCGCAATGCATCCCCTTGCATCGCGTTCCGTTGCATCGCAACGCGTTTCATCCCCCGCACCTCTACACTCTCAGACGCATGAATGGTCAGGCCCGGGCCAGAGCCTCTTGCGAGGCCAAGCAGCACTCAGTGCCACGCAACTGAGTCTTTGCTACAAAGAAAACTTAACAAACCCTTCACGCTACGTACCATCGCGCTGTGCGGATGTCCCTGCGTGTGCGTGCGTGCATGAATGACCAGGCGCAGGCGAGAGCCTCGGGGGAGAGCAGGCAGGAAGCGACCTCGGCGATGCTGCCAGTCAACCGCCCCAAGAACCGCTACATTGACGTGCTCCCTTGTGAGTCATGCCGAAATCTCTTTTGAGAAATCTCGAAAGTGCTTTCATCAGAGCAGACAGGAGCGACATCAGCGATGCTGCCAGTCAACCGCCCAAAGAACCGCGTGATTCACGCCCTGGTAGCGGAGTTGAAAGAGTCGCGTTGGTTTAAAAATCAACCCGAAAGAGAGCCACATTACGGGCATGCTGCCGTGTAACTCATGCTCTGGAGTTCAATCTTAAACAGCTTCTTTTTATAAAGTTTTCATAAAAGAGCTACCTTAGTGGCATGATGCCTTTTTACTCATGCTCTCGCGTGGACAGAGGCTACCTTAGTGACATTCCAGCGGCTCGCTTCCTTCCTTCAACACGCTCGCGCCCTTCTTTCTTTCCTTATGCCCGCCTGCCTGCCTGCCCCTCAGATGAAAACAGCCGGGTCCTTTTGGGGGGCCAGAGCGGAACACAATCGGACGGCTCAGATTACATCAACGCGTCGCATATAGTCACGGTATGACATAGTCACTCCCTGCCCAGCGGCTTATGATAGAACCCCCTGCGCTGACTCCTGTACTTCCTTGTTTCTTCTGAGTCAACGATTCTCTTCCCTTTTGACCCCCACCACGTGCCGGAACCACCACGTGCCGGAACCCCCCCGTGCGAGAACCACCACATGCCGGAACCCCCTGTGCCAGGGTACTTAGCAGCTCAGGACTGAAGCTGACTAAAGAATCACCTCGTTGCCACCCCACCCCACCCCACCCCACCCCACCCCACCCCACCACACCACACCACTCCACAGGACCCGTCGGACCCACAAATGCCGCGGTACATAGCAGCGCAGGGCCCACGCTGACTCAATCTTCACCTCCATAGCTGTGCACCCCTCCCACCCAACCCCACCCCACCCCACCTCACCACACCACACTGCACTGCACCACACCCCAGGACCCGTCGGAGGCACACATGCCGCGGTACATAGCGGCGCAGGGTCCGCTGGATGACACTGCAGCGGCCTTCTGGCACATGGTGTGGGAGCAAGCTGACTCAATCATCACCTAGGTAGCTTTGCACCCCACCCCACCCCACCCCACCACTCCCCACCGCACTGCACCACACCGCAGAACCCGTCGGAGGCACACATGCCACGGTACATAGCGGCCCAGGGCCCTCTGGACGACACTGCAGCAGCCTTCTGGCACATGGTGTGGGAGCAGCGCGCCGCTGCTGTCATTATGCTCACACGGGAGGTGGAGGGGTCAAGGGTGAGTGCACTGCACTGCGCTCTTTTAGGTGTGTGCACGAGGGTGAGGGGGTCTGTGATGTGACATGGGCTGTAGTTTTGACATGGGCTGCAGTTGTGACATGGGCTGCAGTTGTGACATGGGCTGCAGTTGTGACATGGGCTGCAGTTGTGACATGGGCTGCAGTTGTGACATGGGCTGCAGTTGTGACATGGGCTGCAGTTGTGACATGGGCTGCAGTTGTGACATGGGCTGCAGTTGTGACATGGGCTGCAGTTGTGACATGGGCTGCAGTTGTGACATGGCATGGTGTGGGAGCAGAGCAGTGTGCTGATGTGGCCATCGAGCGCACCAGAGAGGTGGAGGGGTCCCGACCCCCAAGTCAGTGAGTGAGTGCTCACATGCTCTCCTCCATGTGTGCATGTACACAAACACGCGTGCCATGAAGCCTGAGTTTGTCAATTTTCCCTCCCCTCCCTCTCCTCCCTCTCCTCCCTCTCCTCCCTCTCCTCCCTCTCCTCCCTCTCCTCCCTCTCCTCCCTCTCCTCCCTCTCCTCCCTCTCCTCCCTCTCCTCCCTCTCCTCCCTCTCCTCCCTCTCCTCCCTCTCCTCCCTCTCCTCCCTCTCCTCCCTCTCCTCCCTCTCCTCCCTCTCCTCCCGCACCCGCCACCGCTCCCTCCCCGGACCAGATCAAGTGTGCGCACTACTTCCCATCCAAGGGGGGTGCATGTGAGGCACACGGGCACATGCGCGTGAGCAACGAGGCCTTAGCCAGTCATGCCTCTCCTCCCTCTTTCTCCCCTTCGCGTCTTTCACCTCTCCTCGATCTCCTCCCTCTCCTCCTGCACCAGATAAAGTGTGCGCACTACTTCCCATCCAAGGCGGGTGCATGTGAGGCATATGGGCACATGCGCGTGAGCAACGAGGCCTTTGCCAGTCATGCCTCTCCTCCCTCTTTCTCCCCTTCGCGTCTTTCACCTCTCCTCGATCTCCTCCCTCTCCTCCCGCACCAGATCAAGTGTGCGCACTACTTCCCGTCCAAGGCGGGTGCAAGCGAGGCGTACGGGCACATGCGCGTGAGCAACGAGGGGACAGTGGAGATGAGTGATGGCGGCACACTGCAGCGCCAACTCACCGTCACCAACGAGTCGGTGAGTGAGGAATCATGGAATGAGATGGTGAGTGAGCAACCACCACACCAGCACGGTCAGGAGGGGTGAGTTTGATTCGAGCATGGCATCGGTTAATACATGAGCTCGTTCTCCTCCTGTCCTCCTCCTCTTCCTCCTCCTCCTCCTCCTCCTCCTCCTCCTCCTCCTCCTCCTCCTCCTCCTCCTCCTCCTCCTCCTCCTCCTCCTCCTCCTCCTCCTCCTCCTCCTCCTCCTCCTCCTCCTCCCCCCCCTCCTTGCCACGTATGAGTTTGATCCTTCCCATCCTCCTTGCCCTGCGTTTGCTGTGCTTCCCAGACACCAGGCGCGCCCCTCTCGCTGCTGCATCTGCACTACCTAGACTGGCCCGACCACGGGGTGCCCAGAAGCACGGAGTCCATTCGGGATCTCATCCGCTCCCTCAGAGACTCGCCCTCATCCAGTGGACCGTTCGTCATCCACTGCAGGTGAGCTGCCACCATTTCTTTTCTTTTTTTTTTCCATTGGCCCTCAAGAGCTACCTCACCCGCTCGCTGAATGACTCGCCCTTGTCCAGTGGGCCGTTCGACATCCACTGCATGTGAGCGGCAGGCACTGCAGGTAGTGTTGTGTTGTGTGTCAAAGTGTCATCCGCTTTTTCAGAGATTTGCTCTCGTCCACTTCACTTTGACAAGTCTGTCTTCCACTTCAAGTTGCACCTGCCTTGCTCTGTCTGTACCCTTGCTCTGTCTGTACCCTTGCTCTGTCTGTACCCTTGCTCTGTCTGTACCCTTGCTCTGTCTGTACCCTTGCTCTGTCTGTACCCTTGCTCTGTCTGTACCCTTGCTCTGTCTGTACCCTTGCTCTGTCTGTACCCTTGCTCTGTCTGTACCCTTGCTCTGTCTGTACCCTTGCTCTGTCTGTACCCTTGCTCTGTCTGTACCCTTGCTCTGTCTGTACCCTTGCTCTGTCTGTACCCTTCCTTTTGACGCTCCCTTTGATTGAGGCGCCTCAAAGGCTGCACCTGCTCTGCTACGCACCCTCCCTTCAACTGTTGAAGGGGCCTACTATGTGGTGGACCATGCATGCACGCATCTTCTCTGCCTCTCTCACTATCTCTGGCTCTCTTTCCCAAACTTTCTCACAATATTTCTCGCTCCTCGCTTGCAGTGCGGGCATCAGGCGCACAGGAGCCTACTGTGTGGTGGACCATGCAGTGCGGTGTGTGCTGCAGGGAGGTTCACATCACGCCCCCTTCAACTGCAAGCTTACCACACTGCCTCAAACCCCTTCTCCCTTCCCATCTCCTTCTCACTCCCACTCACTCCCTCTCTCACAGTGCGGGCATCGGGCGCACAGGAGCCTACTGTGTGGTGGACCATGCAGTGCGGCGTGTGCTACAGGGGGACCTCTCAGCTCTCAACATGGCTGCAACGGTGCTGCTGCTGCGGCAGCAGCGGGCCGGCATGGTGCAGACCAAGGTACGCTGTTGGGATGTCAGGGAAGAGAAAGGTGTGATTCAAGTACAAGAAACCTAGGTGCTGCAGGGGGTCCTTCAGGCTCTCACCATTGCGGCCACGGTGACATTTTGAGCTCTCTTAGTCGACTCAAAGTTCTTTCGGCTCTCAACATGGCTGCCACGGTGCTGCTGCTCCGGCAGCAGCGGGCCGGCATGGTGCATGCAGACCAAGGTATGTGTGGTATTAGGGCCCCAGGCAAGGTGACATTTTGAGCTCTCTTAGTCGACTCAAAGATCTCTCGGCGCTCGATATGGCTGCCACTGTGCTGCTGTGTTGCTGTGACAGCAGCGGGTGCAGACCAAGGTGCGGTTTTAGAGCAGACCAAGTTGGGTGTGTTATTGGGGCAAAGGAGGATGTGATACAAGTATCTCATCAGAACCTTCACCACCTCATTTCACCTCCCTTCACTCCTCTCCACATCTCTCTCATCGTCCAACAGGAGCAGTATCGCTTCTGCTACACCGCAGTGCGCGATGAACTCAAGCATCTCATCAAGACCTTCAACACGGGCCCTGACTCTGACGACTCCTGACTAACTTCCTCTTCACCTCTCTTCACCTCCCTTCACTCCTCTCCACCTCACTGGCCCTAACTCGGACGGCTCCTGACTCCAACTTCCTCGTCACTCACAACTTTGAATCGTTCGCTAAGTCTCTTCGTCACAGCACTCCTTGGCACCGTTTGGTGCTCTTACACAATCCTGGTACTCCTTGAGGGGAAGAGGAGCATGATCAATGTAGGGTTCAGGGTGGTGCAGTGTAGTGCATCCACTCGAGCCGACTTAGCAATACCTTATGAGAATTCTCAGGAATGTACGGCTGTGCTAGGCGCCCAAAACTTGTGAGAGCAGTGTGCCTTTTTTCGACAACTCTTTAAGACTGGGAGAACATGTCTTTAGCAGTCCCAACAGATGGAATCTACTTGCTTTGCAACACTGTGATAGGTGGTAGGAGAGCATGAAGAGGGGGAAAGGTGGCTGGTCCCACGATATCAGGGCAAAACATCCTGATTACCCTGATTTCAGGATGGTGTTTTAAGTTTGCCCTGAAATTTCAGAATGACGATGAAATTTACCCTGTAACGTCAGGATGATTCATGTGTTTTGCCCTGAAATTTCAGAATGGCAGTGAGATTTTGCCCTGAAGCGTTAGGGTGAATGTAGAGGGATGCCCTGAATCATGGGAAGGGGAAGAAGGGGTGGAGGGGAGGGGGGGAGAGGGGGAGAGGGGAGGAGGGAGGCTCGGGGGTGTGTGTGCTAGTTTCGTCCCCCCCCCCCCCCAAGGTTTTTGCTCAGCCCATTGTAGTGAAACCACTGAACAACCTGCTCCTCTCGTGGCTTCCCCTCCACTCTAGTGTCTTGTATTTTTTTGCCCTGAAACATCCGGATGAATTTCTGCTGGTGCCCTGAAATTTCAGGATTGCCAGGAAATTTTGCCCTGAAAAATCAGGGCATTTTGGAGAGTTTTCAAAAGTTGCCCTGAGGGCTCAGGGTGCCCTAAATCCTAGCACAGGCCCTGGCTGGTAGGGCAGCAATAGCAAGTATGCAGTGCCATTGCATAACCTGCAGTTATGGCTAACCACTGACTTGTAGTGTGTCAGTCAATGGTTAGAGACGGACTTCACTTGATCCCTCAAAATCAATGGCTTGCAATGCCAACAACGCCTAAATCCGCAAATTCTGGAGCAGAACAGTGTAGCTCAGTAGGGACGAGGATGAGATCCTTCACAAGGCCAGGGTCCTCTACCCGGCAAGTGGAGCAGGGTGTTGTTGGGTCTCTCCTTGCTTCTTTTAGCCCTGGAGTACCGTATTATGGTTGATTCGTTTAGGAGATGGATAGATTCGTTGCACTAGAACAGGAGTTTGCTTGTTAGAACAAATCACTTCAGAACAAATTGATGTGGAATGAATAAACAAATCGCACCGGTACATGCCAGCGGCAGCCTGTGTCCTTGCCAGATAAATGCGGTACTCTGGTCCTTATTCACCAGGTGACAAAGAGGCCCACAGGCCCAGCCAGCCACCCAAGTGCAGAGGAGCACAGCTCTAGAAGATCCCATCTACACTCATCCCACAGCAAAAAAAGAAGAGTTCATACGGAAAGCACCCCCCCAGCTGCTCGGCCAAAGTCTGTCGAATCTGCATCCCGTAATCCTTTGAGTGAGAAGAACTTGCGGATACTCATCCCACCAAATACGGTAAAAGTAGCCTCCAAGCGGCGGCTCTAGAGCGAGAAGAACTTGCGGAGGCCGTTGGGGCGGACCATGGCAGGGTTGGTGGAGAAGAAGAGGGTGTTGGCGACCTTCTGGTTGACGGCCTGCGTGGGGTTGTGATCGTCCCACCACACGGCCTTGGCCGGCGCCGCACACGCCCCTCCTGTGACTGCTGCCTTGCCAGTCCCGCTGGTCTGCGCACACGCCACGACCACCCCCGTGCTTGTTACCGCCTGGCAGCACGGGTGCGTCTGATTCGTCAGCCCTGGAGGGGGAAAAGGGGAAATGATAGTGAGGTGGGGCTTTAGTGGAGAGGATTGGAAAAGCGAGGAGCGAGGGGGGAAGGGAGAGAGCTAGGGAGAGGGGAAGGGAAAGAGCAAGTGAGAGGAGGAAGGGGCAGGGAGAGCGGGAAAACTCGGGGGTGGGGCTAGTACAGGAGGTGGGGAACGGGTAGGGAATGAGGTGCCTCACCAGAGGTAGGGAATTAGGGGTCTTACCAGAGGTGGGGACTTGGATCATGGTCTTGAAGACGGCTGATTGCTTGAAGAGCACCAGGTTCGGCATGGGCAGGGCAGGGTTGTTCCTCAGCTTGTCCGTCTTCGTCAGCAGCGCGAAATTGTGGATAATGGTAACCTGGTTACCAGCGTCCGTGCAGTTGATTCCGGATTTCGCCGCAAGGCGCACGACAGGAGCGCATCCGAGATTTGGCAGATCAATAATAAGAACGTTGGAGGAGCCGGTGAGGTTGTAGAGAGACTGAGTGATGTTGATAATGGTGTTGGATACCGAGGAGGCGAGGGCGACGAGGGTGGTCATGTTGGGCTGCGTACGGCTGAGCTCAGGAATGTAGTCGTTGGCACCGATGCTCACCACGAACAGAGCCTCGTCCAGCTTCTGTGGAGCAAAATAATGAAATGGGAGGGGTTCAGAAGGAATGAAGACTCGAAAAGAAACGGAAACGGAGAGTAAAAGGGAAAACGGCAAGGAGATTCCAAGTTGGAAAGGAAAATGGAAAAGGAAACAGACGGGAAGCTGGAAAAGAGAAGAAAGGCGAGGGCGTACGAGGTCGGGGTTGTTGGTGCGCTTGGCCTCGTTGAACCACTTCTTGAACTCGTTGAACTGCTGCTGCAGCCCGCGCGTCTGCAGTGAGGAGGCAGCGACAGCGAAGCCACACACAAGAGAGTCCAGCGTCATGACGCGAGAAGAGTATAAGAAGAGTGTGATTCACGATGCCGCGGGCTTACAATTGCAAGGTTACGAACTGTAGAGATGCGATACGGAAGAACGGTTTAAGAATGATGAAGTTACCTTTCCGCCGTTAGTGCCGGATTTCGCGCCAGCAGCAGCCATGGCGAAGTCGAGGCCACTGAAAGGAAGCGACGCATTGCGGGGCGCGAGATCGGCGCGCGGCGAGGGAATCGCGAGGAAGTCGGCTGTTGGAAGGCAAGAGAGAGGGGGAGAGGAGAAAAACCATGTCGAAAATGCTTAAAAAACACGAAGATACATTACTCGACTCGCGGTTAACGGAGAAAATGATCGCCGAGCACGGCCTTGTAGTTCCGAGTCGGTAGTACCGAGCACAACGGAATTTCTGCGCGGATTCATACCGAGGTAGTCGACGACGAGCTTGCCGTCGGAGAAAGATTGAGCATGACAGTTTCGCGCAGAGAAACAGAATCCTGGCGCAGCGAATAAGTTGGCGCTACTACCTCCGCGATTGTCGTACCGAGGTAATCGACGACGAGCTTGCCGTCGGAGAAGCGGCCCGACGCGGGCTTGAAGTTGACGCCGTACGGCAGCTTGTTGGCCTTCACGGCCGCGCGGTTGAAGTAATTCGCGTTGCCCACGTCCGCCGACTCGTCGCCGAAGACGTACATCTGCGAGATCTTCGCGGCCGTTGCGGCGCGAGAGACGCACGCCATGAGCGCGGCGAGCAGAATCAGAGCGATTCTTGCAGCCATGTTGGTGCTATCAGCGCGAAGACAAGTGGGATGGCCTGTATGCTATTCTGAGAGGAATGGGTTCGGAGGGCCACTCGCACGTGAGCAAGTAATACTAGAGTAGAGACGTGGAGATGCTTGGAGCGGAGCGAGCAAGTGATGAGAGAGTGGACACACACGTTGGTATTTGAACTTGGATAACCGGGTATTCGCGTCGCCCAGGTGGGGTCCCATGGAAGAACCCGGTCGGGTGCTTATCTCCCAATGGCTGCTGGCGGCTTGCGCTGTTCATACAAATTGTGGAATTTGGAATAGTTGTGTTCGAATGTCCGTGTGGGAAATTGTGGTGGTGAGCTAGATCAAGAGCTGTGGCGGGAGGAAGAATCAGATTTCATGCATAATATATCGGGATACCGTGAAGAACGAAAACTTCGTGTCTGTTCGTGAAACTCCTGCCAGCCCTTTTGCTTTGTCGCCACAATCGATGAACAAGCTCGCGAAGCGGCTCTGGCAGACACAACACTTTCGCCACATGGACAAGTGTAGGACAGGGCCTCTGCGACTCGGCATGAAATGAGATGGGTGCGAGCAAATGCGCGGTTCGAAAGGGTTATGCCTCCCGTACATCTCCCTTCTGTGCTGTGACCTGTCCCGCTTACCAACCGTACATCTCCCTCACCTTCTCCTTGTGGCCGTTCTAGGTGCAATGCGGTTCTAGTTGGATCGTAAGGCACACGGACTGGTGCCTGGACAAATGACAGGTGTGAAGGAATGGAACGTGACCTGTACCACTAAACACCTGTAACGGGTATCGAGCAGTGGATTCGCGTATAATCTGATTCGGACATTATAGATTCCATCGCTTTTACCCATTATCAAAAGAAGAAATATACAAACATTCTGGGTTCAAACCATACGCAGATTTACGGTGGAGGATTATGCCTGCTACCAATCGTAATGCTTAGCCGAATTGTGCAATTTGACAGGTGCTGAATCAGCCGTGCTTATTGACAGGTGCGAAATCAGCTGTGAGTGTTGACAGGTGTCACGGCGTCCAATCGGGAGTGGTCTAGAGTGGGAACGAGATCGGATGCGATGCGTATGAGGTCGAGGAACTCATAGTCCCACAGCACCTCGCCATCGTACGCATAGTACTCCTGCAGTGAACAACAGTGGGCAGGAGTGGAGTGGGGTGCAGGGGGCATAACGAATGGTTGAGAGGTAGATGACAAGTCGCACAGAGGAGGTGGAGGAACTCGTAGTCCCACAGCACCTCGTACGCAATAGTACTCCTGCAGTGCAGCAGCAGCGTGCAGAAAACAGCAGTGTGAAGAGCATGGAGTGAACAGGAGTGAAGAGGGGTGCAGTGCAGGGGGCATAAAGAATGGTTGAGAGGCAGATGGCAAGGCGCACAGAGAAGGTGGAGGAACTTGTAGTCCCACAGCACCTCACCATCGTAGGCGTAGTACTCCTGCAGGAAAAAGCAGAGTGCAGAAAGCAGCAATTCGCATAGAACAGGAGTGAAGAGGGATGCAGGGAGCATGAAGAATGGTTGAGTGGCAGATGGCAAGGCCCAGAGGCTCCTAGTCCCACAGCACCTCGCCATCGTAGGCGTAGTACTCCTGCAAGAAACAGCAGAGGAGAGGGGTGACTCACCTTGACCACGTTGACTCACCTTGACTGCATTGACTCACCTTGAATGTGTTGACTCACCTTGACTGCATTGACTCACCTTGAATGTGTTGACTCACCTTGACTGCATTGACACCTTGACTCACCTTGACCACAAACACTGGCTGCATGGAGGAGCGTTCAAGACCTGAGATGGTGAGAGAGAAAGAAGCATCTGCTGCCAGCAGGTCGCTGAGAGAGAGGCTGTGCAAGGGACTCGCCTTGACTCCCATTGACTCACGTTGACTGCGTTGACTCACCTTCACCACGAATACAGGTTGCATGGTGGTGCGTTCAAGGCCGGAGATGGTGAGAGAGAAAGACGCATCTGCTGCCAGCAGGTTGCTGAGAGAGAGGCCATGCAGGGGACTCGATTCGTCCACTATGTGGCGCAGATTGAAGCCAAAGCGCATGTAGGGCAGCTGGGAGGGAGGAACGGGATGGTAAGGGGCGTGATTGTAACAAGTGAGTGAGTGCAGCAGGTGTGACAGCAGGTTGCTGAGAGAGGGGCCATGCAGGGGACTGGAATCACCCACTATGTGCCGCATATTGAAGCCAAAACGCATGTAGGGCAGCTGGGAGAGATGGGGCAAGGGTGGGACCATATGTTAGTCACCAGAGTGAGGCAGAGCACCTCTCAGGAGGGGTTGAGAGGGTGGAACGGAGAAGGTCAAGAAAGTGAGGCAGAGGCAGGGCCAGTTACAAAAAAACTCCTGGCAGGGCCAGTTACAAAAAAACTCCTGGCAGGGCCAGTTACAAAAAAACTCCTGGCAGGGCCAGTTACAAAAAAACTCCTGGCAGGGCCAGTTACAAAAAAACTCCTGGCAGGGCCAGTTACAAAAAAACTCCTGGCAGGGCCAGTTACAAAAAAACTCCTGGCAGGGCCAGTTACAAAAAAACTCCTGGCAGGGCCAGTTACAAAAAAACTCCTGGCAGGGCCAGTGGCAGCAACACTACTCGCATCGGATTTCACAAGCTGCAGGTCATGCAGGGAGCAATGCACCTCCGCGGAGGGGGTGAGAGGGTGGAAGAGCGGTTAGAGAGAGTGAGGCAGAGGCAGAGGCAGGGGCAATGACATGGGATGACATGATGAACAACACTACTCACATCGGATTTCACAAGCTCGAGATCATGCAAGGAGCAGTGCACAACCCCTGAGGGGGAGGGGAGGAAGAGGCGCAGCGAGAGGGCGACCTTCACGTTCACCAGCTCGTGCGAGTTCAGCCCCACCAGGGCAAACCGCGCCGTGAGTATCCTGCATGAGCAGCGGAGAGTTAAATTTTTTTTTTAAGGATTTTTTTGAAGGATTATTTTAGTATCCTGGATAGTTTGAAGGATTTTTTTGAATCGAGTTAAGAATGGACGATCACCAGCTCGTGCGAGTTCAGCCCCACCAGGGCAAAGCATGCTGTGAGAATCCTGTGATCCGTGTGTGATGTGAGCAAGAGAGTAGAGAAGACACGTTCACCAGCTGGTGTGTGTTTAGCCCAACCAGGGCAGGCTGTGAGAACCTTCAGTTCGTGCGTGAGAGGCGGGGAGTGGTGAGGGAGGGAGTCTATGCAAGGAAGCAGCGAGGGTGTGGCGGATTGGATGGTCGAGGGAGGGGCTCCTGAGAAGAGGGCTCCTCCTCCTCTCCTCCCCTTCTCTCCTCAGGAGGCCCTCTTTCCTCACCTTCTCTCCTCAGGAGGCCCTCTCTCCTCACCTTCTCTTCTCAGGAGGCCCTCTTTCCTCACCTTCTCTTCTCAGGAGGCCCTCTTTTCTCACCTTCTCTTCTCAGGAGGCCCTCTTTCCTCACCTTCTCTTCTCAGGAGGCCCTCTTTCCTCACCACCTCTTCTCAGGAGGCCCTCTTTCCTCACCTTCTCTTCTCAGGAGGCCCTCTTTCCTCACCTTCTCTTCTCAGGAGGCCCTCTTTCCTCACCTTCTCTTCTCAGGAGGCCCTCTTTCCTCACCTTCTCTTCTCAGGAGGCCCTCTTTCCTCACCTTCTCTACTCAGGAGGCCCTCTTTCCTCACCTTCTCTTCTCAGGAGGCCCTCTTTCCTCCCCTTCTCTTCTCAGGAGGCCCTCTTTCCTCACCTTCTCTTCTCAGGAGGCCCTCTTTCCTCACCTTCTCTTCTCAGGAGGCCCTCTTCCCTCCCCTTCTCTTCTCAGGAGGCCCTCTTTCCTCACCTTCTCTTCTCAGGAGGCCCTCTTTCCTCACCTTCTCTTCTCAGGAGGCCCTCTTTCCTCCCCTTCTATTCTCTGGAGCCCCTCTTTCCTCACCTTCTCTTCTCAGGAGGCCCTCTTTCCTCACCTTCTCTTCTCAGGAGGCCCTCTTTCCTCACCTTCTCTTCTCAGGAGGCCCTCTTTCCTCACCTTCTCTTCTCAGGAGGCCCTCTTTCCTCACCTTCTCTTCTCAGGAGGCCCTCTTCCCTCCCCTTCTCTTCTCAGGAGGCCCTCTTTCCTCACCTTCTCTTCTCAGGAGGCCCTCTTTCCTCACCTTCTCTTCTCAGGAGGCCCTCTTTCCTCCCCTTCTATTCTCTGGAGCCCCTCTTTCCTCACCTTCTCTTCTCAGGAGGCCCTCTTTCCTCACCTTCTCTTCTCAGGAGGCCCTCTTTCCTCACCTTCTCTTCTCAGGAGGCCCTCTTTCCTCACCTTCTCTTCTCAGGAGGCCCTCTTCCCTCCCCTTCTCTTCTCAGGAGGCCCTCTTTCCTCACCTTCTCTTCTCAGGAGGCCCTCTTTCCTCACCTTCTCTTCTCAGGAGGCCCTCTTTCCTCCCCTTCTATTCTCTGGAGCCCCTCTTTCCTCACCTTCTCTTCTCAGGAGGCCCTCTTTCCTCACCTTCTCTTCTCAGGAGGCCCTCTTTCCTCACCTTCTCTTCTCAGGAGGCCCTCTTTCCTCACCTTCTCTTCTCAGGAGGCCCTCTTTCCTCACCTTCTCTTCTCAGGAGGCCCTCTTCCCTCCCCTTCTCTTCTCAGGAGGCCCTCTTTCCTCACCTTCTCTTCTCAGGAGGCCCTCTTTCCTCACCTTCTCTTCTCAGGAGGCCCTCTTTCCTCCCCTTCTATTCTCTGGAGCCCCTCTTTCCTCACCTTCTCTTCTCAGGAGGCCCTCTTTCCTCACCTTCTCTTCTCAGGAGGCCCTCTTTCCTCACCTTCTCTTCTCAGGAGGCCCTCTTTCCTCACCTTCTCTTCTCAGGAGGCCCTCTTTCCTCCCCTTCTCTTCTCAGGAGGCCCTCTTTCCTCACCTTCTCTTCTCAGGAGGCCCTCTTTCCTCACCTTCTCTTCTCAGGAGGCCCTCTTTCCTCCCCTTCTCTTCTCAGGAGGCCCTCTTTCCT